ATAGATTTGATAATCAATGATTTTCGAAGTTGTTGTCACGACGAAAGCACGCGGCAAGTTTTAACCCAAATAGTTGCATTAATTGTTTATAAATACGAGTAAAACAAGGAGCCAGTCTATTTTTGCACAAACCTCAACAGTCCGCGGATATCGTGGTGGTCCAATTTAGGCGCTGGTCCAACTTAGGCTACCTTCCCCTATATGGGCGGCCAAGCCGTACACAATAATCATAATGTACTTGCATTATGCCCGGGACGCAGCAGCCGCCTGCGTATTTGCTTACGGAGCAGCACAAGGAGGTTAGATCTATATATCTCGAGTTGCAGGGGTGGCAATCGTACCTATGCTGGAGTTAAACATTTGGAAGGCTCTATTGTTGTTGAATTATTTTTTTTTTAATTTGGAGGTTTCTTTTTGTGCGGGATAAAAATTGAGTTTTCTAAGATGGTTGAAGAATTTCATGTTGCCTGGCGAAAACGGGGAAGAGAAGTAACGGGGATTTGTTTCCTTATAGAGCAAGAGCCCGTGACGGCCAGACTTTCTTCATTTTAGGAAAGATGAATTCGTTATTATAGCAAACTCCATTTTTACATATTTTCTTCGTAACATTATTACAACATACGCTGCTCATTGCCAGACACCTGGTATGGTTCTAACCCTAGCCAGACACCCCTAAACTATAATATTTTGTAACTTTTTTACTTTCGTTATATTGGGAAAGCTGATTTTGATACACATTATGAAGAAAGCTATGAAATTGTGTTTTCTTTCACGCCAGACAGTTTGGTCGGTTCTATCATCCTGCTAGATGCATTGAAAGTGTATAAGAGTTGCAAAAATTAAATTGTTTAAACATGAAATTTTCAGAGAGTAGTAATTTTATTTTGACAAATATTTAATAATAATCATCACTGTCATCGATATCTTTGCGATTCGTTCCTTTTTATCTCCTTTAGTTTACGAGATATTAGCAATTGAAATAAAACGTAAAAAATTGAAAAATTGCACTTTTGAGCACTTTCAGTCGAGGTTTCAGTCGCTAAATATTCTTTTGTTTTATAAATAATGTTATCTACAAAATTAGGGGATATTTATTATTGAAAGCAAATTACTTCAGTGTATTTCTTTCCTAGTTAAAATTGTGTTCGGATAGGGGGAGGCTGAAGGCACGGAATATCGTTTCAAATGTAGACACTTTATGTTGACGGGCATTAGGAATCAAACGGGATGATATTATCAGAGAGTGTGCCTTTCCTATAGATATCGACGATAGATATAATGATGTCCTCAACGGTGAAACAATTGTTGCTTCATCAATAAACTCAGTGCACATAAACTAAAAAATTCTCTCAGTTAAAATCTTAATACAGTGGAATCCCGGTAATCCGGACCCGGCTTGATCGCTTGATCCGGCACCTTTTGTAATCCGACATAGTCATATGCCATATGTTTGTACTTTAGGATTTGTAATTTGTTGGATTACAAGGTACTTTTTTGTAAAACAATTCCGAACTGTAAGGGGTCTTAGACAGTTTCCTATAATCCGACAAATTCGCTCATTCGACACTATATTTTGTATTAACATAGGTTGTCTTCACTATCACTACATAGTATAAAACAAAGTCGCTTTCTCTGTCCCTATGTCCTTTTGTATGCTTTAATCTTTGCAACTACGCAACTGATTTTGATGCGGTTTTTTTTAATAGATAGAGTGTTTCAAGAAGAAGGTTTATATGTATAATAACATCCATTAAATAGTGGAGAAGTACTGTTATTTTTGAGGTTTCTAATGTGATGCCGTAAATAATTACATTTTATCCGCTTACATTGCAAACGCAGGCTGAACCCCACGAGTTTTATCAAAATAATGTACTAAGTCTTGTACACATTGAAAAGGTCTACAGAAAAGTCCGTGATGGTATATGTCTATCTCTTACGGATAACCCACAATAACTTTTTTTTGGCATTTACTTTTTACGACAAATAATGGCTAATTTTCGAAGCTATTTTAACCAATACAGTATTAATCTTTAACCAATTAAATACTTTGAATATATTGTTCATTTAATATAGACTATATGACCCTTTACACCGTATGATTTAAGTGAATATTTTCGAAGATATTACAGATTTAAAAATTGCGGGACGGCAAGAGCGTGCCTATAAATAGCGCGTCTGAGGCCGCGGTTTTCCCATAGCACTTTGAATTTAGCAGCGTGCAAAAACCGGTGCGGGTCGCTAGTTGCAAATAAATTTCAAACACTCACACATTAACACAAGTGCCACGTTCAACAAAAAAAAAACGCGACCCTATAGTGTAATCCTTATTATATAATGAAAATCATAAAAAATCATATGTGAAGAATATTATGCAGAGTAACATAGAATATTGTAGTATTAATATCCTTGAGAAAAGAAATTGTACATACTTTCTGAGGGGAACTTTACGTGTGTTAGCATAAGTTTATACTTGCGTAGTTTGTTCATAGAGGGCGGTAAATTATTTCTAATGTTGAAAAATGACTAGTTTTGTATTTAGATGTGCAGAAATCCAAATTTAGTTATCGCTTCTCGGCTCCGGCTAAGATCAAAGTGTAGTATCTGTTCTTATCAGCTTAATATCTGATACGACCCGCATGCGGGTCCAGTATATTAAACTGATTTTTGGACATGGATGAGAGTTAGGGGCTTGCTCCACTCACATCACGGGTTGGCTCGGTATTGCAGTACCTCCGAGATCGGCCCACATTTAATAATAATTAAAGATAATTGCATCTTTTCCTTTTACCTATAAAGCGCCAGTTTAACACACAGTTTGACCTGAAACAATCATTACTACTACAGCGCAAACTCCAACAATCTTTTACGGGAACAAAACAAAAATATTCGCGAAATCGGGCAACGACTACAAGAAACTCATTCATTTATTCGACCATCAACAACTGGAGTATTTTTCCTATCACAAACAGACGGAAGCTACAAAATCTCTAGTCATTAAAACAGTTCCATTTTTGGAAGAAGACGAACTAACGAAGTTTTACAAACAGCAACATCCGGACGTGCTATACGTGCGGAAAATGAAAAGCAAGAAGGATGACTCGGAAAGTCGATCATATCTCATCAAACTCACGTCGGAACCAACATAAATGACTTTAAAAAAATCAAAAACACAGACGCTGCATTCATCTATTATGAGCGCTACATGAAACCTACGAAAATAACAATGTGTCGAAGATGTCAGGAGTTCGGCCATGGAACAGAAAATTGCCGGAGCGCCCCAAGATGCGTTAAATGTCCAAAAAATCATCTCACTGAGGACTGCGATAAGGAGGCAGATGCACCACCGATATGCACAAATTGTACCGGACCTCACCCAGCAAACTTCACCGGATGCCCTGCTTACAACAGGTATGTACAACAAAGCACATTAAAGTAGCTGAGGTCAGAATTCCAAACCTCACAATCGACGACAAGACATTCCCGCTTCCAAAGCCATATTACAAACCAACACCTTCTACTGCGCAAAACTCCTCGCCAAAAAATACATACACAAATAACACTAACACCACTCCTAATACTCATCATCCCATGCAATCATATATAAACATCCTACAAAAATTCCAAAAAATCAAACCTGAAATTGACAACGCTCCAACGGAGGTGGAGAAACTAATAGTTATTCTTAAACATTATGGATCCTAAATCCTTAAATCATTTAAAAATCATTACATGGAACGCATGCTCCCTACAAAACAAAATCCTTCAATTTCGGCATTTCCTAGAACAAAATAAAATTCATGTTGCATGTATACAAGAAGCCTCCAAATCCAAAAAACCTCAAAAATTGTGAATTACAATCTTATTTCCAACAAAAAATTGCAATATACATTAAAAAAGAACTTCACTATGATCAACTCCTCGAAACCGAAAACTCAATTAGCATCCTAGTAAATAAAATTCGCATTACCAACTTCTATAATTATCCGAAATTTGCATCTGACCTTAACGAATTAAAATATATCACAAAATTTCCAAATACCATAATCTTTGGCGATTTTAACGCGAAACACCCGAAATGGAAAAATCCTAAACGATTTCCTTAATTGTCATCCACAACTTAACTTACTTTACCCACAAAATTCTTACACCCATTATCCGACAAATGGCAATAATCCTTCCACAATAGACCTAATTGACACAAACTTAAAATTTTATGTTGAACCTCCTTCAACGGTCAATGACCTGGATTCCGATCATCTACCTGTCGCCACGCGAATCCACTTAAAAGTCCCCATAAAATTAAATACCAAAATTTCCCGAATTACAAAATGGAACAATTATAAAAACTACCTGAAAAATCAAAATCCCAATTTTTTATTACACAGTACTAACAGCATTGACAAAGCCCTGCACCGACTAACAAATGCCACTTTGCATGCATATCACAAAAACACACAAATTATAAACACTCCCTCACATAAATTACAGCTTCCCCGTGACATCCTAAACTTAATTAACACCAAAAACAAACTACGTAAAATTTCCCAAAAATATAATATATTTCAAATCCTTAAACCCCAAATTAATAAATTATCCCAAGAAATTAATGAATAAATTGCCTCCTACACCAACCAGCAATAGAATCATAAACTATCCAATACCAAGAATCTCCTATCCCCAAAATTATATATATATGTCGGATTCGAATACGAACAAGGACGCCATCTAGACATAAGAAGATGAATCAGCTAATGGAGGTGCAGTCTTGCATCGATGTGGTCTGGGTGTGTGTCTCGAGTAAGAGCGACAAGCGCAGAAGGGATTCGAAGGTTTCGAGGGAAAGGAGAATCATGTATGAAGACACTCACTCTGAGAGCACCGTTGAGCGCGCACCCAGAACTCATCCCGTTACGCCGATTCAATTCGTATTGTTTAAGCTAAGACATACTTTGTTTTGTAATAAATGGCGCGTAATTTAAATTGGAATGTTGTTAATGTAGTTGAGGAGGAGGTGTATCCGACATCAGAAGTGGGATCTGGATCCAATTTGCGATCTAATTTGCGATCTAGTGAAAAGTGCGATAGAGAAAGTGACAATGATAAAGAAAAGTGGAGTCAGTTATTACAAGTGCAAAATAACAATATGCGTAATCTTATTGAAGCGTTGATAAAACCCCAGGTGACCGAACAATTTAATTTGTCGGAATTTAATCCGGATGATCGTGATGCTGACGCGCGTGCTTGGTGTTCCATGGCAGAGTTATGTATTGGTGACAAGAATCTGACGGGTGCCAAACTAATTATGACGTTAAGCAGAACAATGAAGGGTGCTGCATCATCGTGGTTGTCGCAGATCTCTTACCCGGATATTTCGTGGGAAGATTTTAAATCACAGTTTACTGCATGATTTATTCAATCAGAGACGATGACTGCGTCTCTAATAAATCTACAGAATGGAAGGCCACGAGGTGATGAAAATTTGAGTACTTACGCGGGGCGACTTTTCAATTCGCTGATGACTAACTGGAAAGATGCGTCCATCGAGCAAATCGCTACTGCGACAATATTATCGCATATTGCTCAATTCGATAATCGAGTACAGCGTATGTCATTCACCAACGAAATTCAGACGAGACAGCAATTACAAAAGGAGTTACAAGCACTCTCTTTTAAACGACCAGCCGCAGTAGACAATGCTTCGCAACGCCCGGAGAAGATGCGAAGAACTTCATCATTCCAACCCAAGATGACGAAGTGTTTCAACTGCAATAAATTTGGACATCGACAGGCTGACTGCCCCGAGAAGCGGAGACAAGACCAGAAATTCACCCCTCAGCGGTCCACATCGGGAGCGTCAAACAGCGGGAGATGCTTCAAATGCGGTGAGACCGGACACTTCGCCAACCGCTGCAGGAAGAATGAGGGCTTTGTCAAGATGGTCAACATCTGTGCAGTTGATTTACCTGGAGGTACTTTTAAACATAACGGTGAGTCGTAACCCTTTTATTTGGATTCTGGAGAGAATGGAGAGAATTAGTAAAAGAGAGTATTGCACGAAATTTCTGCGGGAAGAAATTTTATAATTCAATTACGATGGTTGGAATTGGTACGAGTAAAGTAAATTCGTTTGAACAAATATTATGTCAAGTTGAAATTCAAAGTCACTATGCTGAGATCTTGTTTCACGTCTTGCCTGATTTGTATTTGATTCATGACGTATTGCTGGGTCGTGAGATTTTGAATCAAAATTTTACTGCGATAATAACTAAAAGTTCATTTCAACTTAAAAAAAGAGCTTTTGAAAAACATCCACTCGTGTGTTCCAGACAACACAACTTTTAAATTAGAGAATCTAGACACACATATTTCAGCTTGTCAAAAAGCAAAACTCGAAAGCGTGATAAGTAGTTTCTCTGAATACTTTGTGACCAAAATGCCATTAACGCGCGTAAACACGGGCACACTTGAGATCAGACTTATAGACTCAACAAAAACAGTACAAAGACGCCCTTATCGTCTCTCATTCGAAGAAAGAGAATCAATGCGTGGGAAAGTTAAAGAACTTTTGGACGCCAAGATAATTAGACCAAGTTATTCCCCATTTGCTAGTCCTGCACTTCTCGTAAAAAAAAGTGACGGCACTGATAGAATGTGCATTGATTACCGAGAACTAAACGACAATACAATTCCGGATAGATATCCATTGCCATTAATCTCTGATCAAATTGACCGAATGACGAATATAAAGTACTTTACCGCATTGGATTGTGCGAGCGGATTTCATTTGATTCCGGTGCATGAAAATTCTATCGAGAAAACGGCCTTTGTTACCCCCGACGGTTCATATGAATATCTTTCGATGCCATTTGGTCTGCGAAACGCAGTCTCTGTTTTTCAGAGAGCAATAATAAAAGCTTTGGGAGAATTAGCATTTAGTTACGTAATCGTTTATGTCGACGATGTGATGATTGTATCACAAACGGTCGACGAGGGAATAGAAAGGTTGAGAATTGTTTTAGATGTTTTATCGAAAGCAGGATTTTCATTTAATTTAAAGAAATGCTCATTCCTGAAAACAAAAGTACAATTTCTTGGGTATGAAATAGAAAATGGCACAATCCGACCCAATCAGAGAAAAATTGAAGCACTAAAAAATCTTGCACCGCCTACTTCAGTCACACAAGTCAGACAATTTATAGGACTCGCATCTTACTTTCGTCGATTCATAGAAAAATTTTCAAGGAAAATGTCACCTCTCCACAAACTTACAACGCGTGAACAGCAGTTTTCATGGGAAATAGAACATGAACAAATACGTCAACAAATTATTTCAATTCTAACTGGGCACCCTGTTTTAATTATTTTTGACCCGAACCTTCCGATTGAATTACATACGGACGCTAGTGCAGATGGTTATGGAGGAATTTTAATGCAGATAAAGGAACAGAAGAAACATGTAGTTGCGTATTATAGCAAGCGAACAACACCGACAGAATTTAAGTACCATTCGTATGAATTAGAGACACTTGCGATAGTGAACGCCATTAAACATTTTCGTCAATATCTAAGCGGACGCAAATTTACAATTTTTACGGATTGTAATTCCATAAAAGCTGCACAAAAGAAATGTGATTTAACACCACGAGTACATCGATGGTGGGCGTATTTGCAAGCGTTTGAATTTAACATAGAGTATAGGGAGGGAAAGCGAATGGCACATGTAGATTTTCTATCACGTAACCACCTAGGCGAAAATAAAAACCCACCGCGCATGGAAAATAGAAAAGAACTGAAAATTGTTAACTTAGCAGAACTACAAGACAATTGGCTACTTGCAGAACAGTTGAAAGATGAAGAGATTTCGAAATTAAAATTAGACTTAGCGAATAACACATTAGACGAAAACATAGCGGCGACATACGAGTTAAGATCGGGCATTCTTCACCGACATATCCAAAGAAACGGAAAGTCTCTATGCCTACCAATAATTCCTCACTCGATGAAATGGTCGGTCATAAATAATATTCATGAGTCAATAATGCATTTAGGATCGGATAAGACGCTCGAAAAGATTTACGAACACTATTGGTTTCAAGGAATGTCACGACTTGTCAAGCGTTTTGTAGATAACTTGTAAACTCAGTAAACCACATTCAGGCAAAATTCAGGCAGAATTACACCCTATTCCAAAGACTACTACCCCATGGAATACGATACATATTGACGCAACAGGCAAGCTAAGTGGAAAGAATGATACCAAAGAATATGTTTTCGTATTAATAGACTCTTTCACAAAATTTGTTTTTCTACATCACTCAAAAAATATCAATAGTCACAGCTGTATCGACGCATTAAATAAGGCTGTCTGTTTGTTTGGTGCTCCAACAAGAGTAATAGCCGACCAAGGTAGATGTTTTACCAGTAATGATTTTAAAACTTATTGTAATTCAAAAAATATTAACCTACATCTTATTGCGACGGGAGCATCGCGCGCAAACGGCCAAGTGGAAAGAGTGATGAGCGTTTTAAAAGCAATGTTAACGGCAATCGAAATTACACCAGATAAGTCATGGCAGAATGAGTTAGGAAATATTCAATTAGCAATTAATTGCACAATTAATAAAACTACAAAGACGTCCCCCTTAGAACTCTTAATAGGGAAAGTAGCGAGACCGTTGGCAATGATGGTAGATAACGCGGAACATGACGTAGATCTTAACTTAATTCGACAAGTGGCAATAGATCGAATTCAAAAATCGGCAAAGTACGAGAAGGCAAGATTTGACAAGACAAAAGCAAAAATAAAGCGTTTCTCAGTAGGAGAATTTGTGCTCATACAAAACGAAGAGCGTAATCAAACTAAGCTAGAAGCCAAGTATAAAGGGCCTTATGAAATAATAGAGGTATTAGAAAATGATAGATACAAATTAAAGTCGTTAAGTTCGAAGAGAACGTACAAGTACGCTCACGATCGACTAAGAAAGATGCCGGACGCACAAGTCGCGGCAGAGGAATTGTTAGGCAATACTACGTAGGAGTATTGGAAAGGTTGCACGGGGAGTGTAATAGCTGTAGTACTTGTAACGGTATGTAAGTTTTTCTTGAGCATGAGACGGTTTGTAGTTTGATGGATAATTATAATGTGTACCATTTATGACTAAATTGTTTTTCTTTTTGTTTAGTTGTGAACTGCTGGTCATTGTAGTGATCATGCAGGGTTGCCAACCATTGGTGTGGTTGTGTAACGTGTGACCTAATCATTGGTGTGATTAGTTGTGAACTGCCAACCATTGTAGTGGTTGAGTAGGTTGCCAACCATTGGTGTGGTTGTGTGACATGAGACCTAATCATTGGTGTGATTAGTTGTGAACTGCCAACCATTGTAGTGGTTGAGTAGGTTGCCAACCATTGGTGTGGTTGTGTGACATGAGACCTAATCATTGGTGTGATTAGTTGTGAACTGCCAACCATTGTAGTGGTTGAGTAGGTTGCCAACCATTGGTGTGGTTGTGTGACATGAGACCTAATCATTGGTGTGATTAGTTGTGAACTGCCAACCATTGTAGTGGTTGAGTAGGTTGCCAACCATTGGTGTGGTTGTGTAACGTGTGACCTAATCATTGGTGTGATTAGTTGTGAACTGCCAGCCATCATTCTAGTGATTGTGCTTGATGTTGCAAATCATTGTAGTGATTGTGCAGGGTTGAAAACCATTGTAGTGGTTTTGTAACATGTTATTTTTGTGATTTTGTGAAATGTAATATTGCTGCATATGAGAGAGATATGACAGAGATGTGGTCAGAGATGACCGAGTGATTAAAATTTTCGAACAAGATTCTGAGATTTACTTTGTTTTACAGAATAAGCCACACGAGGACGTGTGTGCGCAGGATGGCCGTGTCGGATTCGAATACGAACAAGGACGCCATCTAGACATAAGAAGATGAATCAGCTAATGGAGGTGCAGTCTTGCATCGATGTGGTCTGGGTGTGTGTCTCGAGTAAGAGCGACAAGCGCAGAAGGGATTCGAAGGTTTCGAGGGAAAGGAGAATCATGTATGAAGACACTCACTCTGAGAGCACCGTTGAGCGCGCACCCAGAACTCATCCCGTTACGCCGATTCAATTCGTATTGTTTAAGCTAAGACATACTTTGTTTTGTAATAAATGGCGCGTAATTTAAATTGGAATGTTGTTAATGTAGTTGAGGAGGAGGTGTATCCGACATATATATATATATATATACATATATATATATATATAATGACGAAAGTCTGGCCGTCACGGGCTCTTAGTCTATAAGGTACGTTAGGTTATCGGATTCCAAAATTTCGTTAACCTCGCTAGAAATGCCTTTAAAGTTAAGCAATTGTTGTTATCTTTTTTTGGAAATATATTTGTAACGTACAGTAGAGTCCGGTTATAATGACATCGAAGGGAATTGACAAACACGTCATAATAAGCGGACGTCATACAAAGCGTTTTGTGAAATGAAATCCCTTTTTTATGTAAATATGTACATATACATACATATTAAATCAAAATCAAAATTGCACATAATCAGCACATTATAACACATACAAGTGTATTTTTTACTTCAAGTAATCTGTAATTTTTGTCTGCTTTTGTTTTTTCATTTAATTAATTTTCTTGTGATTTTCGAAGCCTCTTCGGTTTCAAAACATTTGAATTGAACGATTGCTTAATGCGGTTCTTGTTTTTTAAAAAGCATTGAGATTGTCGAATGACCCACGCCAAATTCGGATTAATGGAAAATACGGATTAAGTCGTGGTCAAGGTACTGCTGCCCGAATGCTTATATTTATTATTTAAGCATTTGGTCTTTCCGATAGTAAATACATAAAAGTAATTTGACAATCATAAAAGAAATGTAGCAATATATATAAAAAGTTCGCCACGTGTCGAACGTCGTCGGGTATCAACGAACATTACCGGAGGTGTAAAGAATCATGTTGGTCAATATAACCGGACATAATC